AACAAGAGACAAGCCTCCGGGCAGGGTCCCGGGCCCCCACCCCTGCTTCTCATGGTGCAGCTCTGCTTTGATCTCTTTATAAACTGTGCTTCCAGGTACATTTTCATTAGGAAATAAGAGATTCTGCCCCTGAAAGCAATAGAGGGGCTTGAAATCACTGATCCATCCCAGCACCCCCCCCCCCCCAACATCCACATGTCATTACAGATGAGGAAAAGGTCCACAGGGATTTGGTGCTGACTTGACCAAGGCCACATAGGGAAGAATGACTTTAGATCTGGGTCTCCCAAGAGCCACCCTGACCAATGAACAGGCATCGGCGAGTGTGCAAGCCCTGCTCCACAGCCAGAGGGAATCCCTTCAGTGCCTCTGAGAGCTCATTTAGGGTCCAATAGAGACCACAGGCCTGCACCAGCTGAAGGCCCATACCCGCAGGAGTCGGAAGGGACTTCCGAGCTCTTCTGGTCTCCCTCAAGGGCAAATATCCCCCTAGAGCAGCACATTCTCCCAAGTGGCCATCCAGACTCTGCTTGGATGCCCCCAGCGATGGGAAGCTCTCCATACTCCGAGATGACTCGTTCCGCGATTGCACTTGAGATCATGACGACGAGCACAGATCTCAGAGCACTGCTCCTCCCAGCTGTGCTCTGGCTTTTATCAAGGACTTGGATAAAGACACGGATGTTACAACCACCGAAATTCTGAATGTCAGAATCAAGATTCTGAGAAGCCAGAGCAGTGAGCTGCAACACAGGATGACGTGAATCACAGTCTCATTAAAGTCCGACGGCATTTAGTTGCAGAAAACCAGCCCACACAAGAACAGATCGGGGGGTGATATGAGAATCCATCTGAGAGTTTTCATCGCCCCCCAAAACTCAACAGTCAATAGGATGAGCCAGCTGCTGAACAGTTTTAGGACTTGGTAATATTTGTTGAAAACCGTGTCAGATACTATGTTCAGCATCTATGCGCATTCACTTATTTCATTCTCCAAAAGGCTTTATGAAGTAGGGAAACAGGATCAGAGAAAGTAAGCCATTTGCCCAAGATCACCCAGCCAGAACCTGTGAGTTGCAAACCACCCCATCAATGTGACGGGGCTGGGAGTTAGAAGGAGGCGGAGTTCGAGTCATGCATCTATCCTAACAGGGTCCTTTCATGAACCCCCACACCTGTACCTGCTCACACGCATGCACACGCAAGCCCCACAGCTACCAGTGTATTTACTTACATCATATTCGTTCTGTCAAGCAGGCACGCACAACTAATGGACCCACACAATTATTCAAAAATTGCCTCCTAAGTATGTGTGTGTGCTCTCTTGCAAACGTGCACATTCTCCCACATGCAGACCTCTCTCTGGGCCTGCGGAGCTGAGAGCGTGAGGCCCCACCCCAGACAAGTGCCTGCTCGCAGGTTCCCAGAACAGCCTGTGGCTGGGCCAGCAAGCTTAGACTCGACCAGCAACCAGCGGCTTCCTGCTCCGCAGGGGCGCAGGCTGGGCCTTCTCCAGAGGGTTCAGGGGACCCCACCCTCACCCCAACCTCGGGCTTGGATTCGGCCTTGCCTCTCAGAACTAATAATAACTACTATTTATGGAGCGTTTCTCTATGGGCCCGTCGCTGTGCTAAGCACATTAATATGCATGACCTTATTTGTCTTCATAAAATCCCACGAAAGCAGCACTCTTCATAGCCCCATCTTACAGGTGAGAAAACTAAGGTCTGGAGACGTGGAGTAACTTACCCAAGGTGACACCAGTTAGCAAGCGGTGGAGCTGGGACATGAACCCAGTCAGACTCGTAAGGGACCACTGCTTCTCTTTTGGGCAGCACGGTTGGGAGGAAAGCACCTGGCTCTCATTCCCACCATGTGACCTTGGGCAAGTCCCTTGCTTTCTATAAGACTGTTTTCCAGCTTCAGAAAGTAAGGGATGATCATTAAAGGTTCTTTCAGCTTTCATTCTGTCATTGTCTTCCCTAAGTCCAGATACTTCCATCTTTCAACTGGTATATACGTGCCAGGCGCTGATCTAGGCAGCGGGAATTCATTCATAAATAAGACACACCAAGCTCCTGTCATCATGCAGCCCAGTGTCTAGTGCAGGAGACAGTCATTAAACAAACAAACAACAACATATTGTGAGGTGATAAGTGCCATGGAGAAAATGGAGTGATGTGATAAAAAAAGGGTGTTAGGAAGGGTGCTGCATCAAACTGGGGGTTAGGAGGCGACATTTGAGCTGAGAACTGGATAACGAAGAAGCCAGCCATGTGAGAATCATAAGTAGAGGGAAACAGCAAGTACAAAGGCCCTGAGGCAGGTGCCAGTTTGTTGTGTTTGCAGAGGAGAAAGGACCCACGTGGCTGCAGCTTGGTGAACAATGGGGAGACTGCTGGGAGGTATCATTGGAGAAGCAGGCAGGGTCCTTCCAGGACATGGTAAGCAGTTTGGATTTTAATCTAAATGCTATGGGAAGCCACTGGAAAATCTTAAGCAAGAAAGTGATGCAAATTGACTTATATTTTCACAAAATGTTTCAAAATAATGGTCCTAGGTGGTGTAGGCCGGAAGGGTGGCTCAGGGAACCCAACGTGCCTCTGTACCCTGCAAGCCTGTTCACTTGCCCGGACCTGGGGCCAGAAAATAAATGTCCAGACACAGGTCCTTCCCTCAGCAAACAGTCACCAGGTCTTCAGGTCCTACAGCTTGAACACAGCCTTGGGCACCAACCCCCCCACTCAGGGGTGCATTTTCTTTGCATCTTCTCCCCCTCCAGGAAGACCCACTCCCCTTGCTCCCTTCCCTAAAGTTCATCTTAACAGCTCCCGCTCCGCAAGCCGCCTGTGCAGCTGCTAAGCAGTGTGTCTTGTCGGGGCCTGCCTGACACCGGTGCTGACCTGGTGAACAGGAAGCTTTCCACAAAGCAGGGCAGGTAGAGCTGGGAGGCCGCTGCACCCTGGGCTTGCTGGGCTGTGTGCAGAGTGAGTGGACCTGGGACTGGGGTAAGGACTCATTTCCCCCCCCCCTTTTTTCAACCTCAAAAGCGGCGCCATCCTGGGGGGAGGGGTTGGGGTCAAAAGGACTCAGGGATCCCCTCCTGCTTTCAGGGGACTGTGTCAGGGACACAGTGAGTATGGCTGTCACCTCTGAGGTGCAGTAGTAAGTAAGGGGTGAGAGGAGGCGGGCAGGAAGGGTGGGAACAGGCGGTGTCTTTCTGTCACTGGCTTTAGGACACCAAGTGTAGAATCTGCCTCCATCCTGCCCCCTCTTTCCTGAGGTGCCTGGGCTTAGGGCACCACCAACAGAATCTCAAGCTAAGGATGCTAGTAGGGAGGCCAGGATGGGGCACATTCCAATTCTGGGCTGTCACAGGCTTTCAGATCCCACGTTAGGCAGCCTTTCCCATTCCTGCCTCCATCCTGCCTCCCATGTTGAGGTGCTACATGCACGACCTCAAAGAACCGACATTTAATTCCCTCGGGACTCTGGGAAGACAAGGATTCATACCTCTTTCCCCCCCCCCCCACCCCACCAAGCCCTGCTCTGGAAGTTTAACTCTTCCTTGCCTTTGAAGAGCAAGGCAACTGGAAAAACAAGTCATGCCTGTTCCATCCAGGAATGCTTGGCACATCTGGCTGGCAGCCACCAAGCTCCTTGGAGTCGGCTCCCACGAGCGGGCCAGGCACCAGCTTCTAGGAGGCCCCGTTTGGCAGCCGGCGCTGCCCTCCTCCCTGCCTCATCCATCCTTGGCCCTGATGAGTCTCACACCGTGACCCAGGCTGGAGTTCAGGGACGCCCTGTGGGACCCTGTGGGAAACAGCAAGGGAGAGTGGGGATTGCAGCGGGTCTTAGAGAGCAAAGCATTGGGTTAGTTCAACGATTCCCAGGGACTAGGTCTCACCTGGCCACCTGCCATGCGGCTCGGGGCAAGACCCTCCCCCTGTCACCCACCTCCCCAGGCGGGGCTCTATTTCCTCATCTGTGCGTGAGGAACAGGATCAGAACTCCATCATCTCTAAGGTCCACATCAGCCCTGACATTCCAGGGGTTGAGGAGTTTCCTCTGTTTGGGCTATAAGGTGAGTCAGTCAGGCCCTGTCCAGAGGGACCTGTGATGGGACAGGTGTCAGTAAGCCTGGGGAAGGGCAACCAGCCCTGGCCTGTGACACAAGGAGCCCCAGATCTAATTCTTGCTTTGCCTAGCTGCAAGGCCCTGGGCAGGTCCCTTCCCTCTATGAAAGTTAGTTTCCTATTACCAATAATAGCTAATAATAGCTAAAACATACTATGTGCCAGGTGCCCTGCGAGGGCATTTACCTTTGTTACTTTGCTTAATTTTCACAACAATCCAGTGAGGTCATATCCTTATTCCCATTCTATAGAAGAGAAGATCAAGGCTCACAGAGGTTAAGTCACCTGCCCAGGAAGTCACCGAGCTAGTAAGTGGTGGAGCGGGGCTGACAGCCAGGCAGCCTGAGGCAAGGCCTGTGACCTAGGTCCCTTTGCTTTTCTGCAGCCCCCACATGTGCACTCAGCTCAGTGTGGCTGGAGCTCTGCCCTAGTGGACTGGTCTTACAGGAAGTTCTTAGAGCCGTATTGCAAAGCTTGGGTACCTGGTTGGGACTATTTTGCCACTGAAGGATTTTGGGGAAAGCAGTGAAGTGGTCAGGACTGTGTTATAGCTGCCAGGTGCCCTCGGGAGGGCATTTAAACTAGTCAGTTATTCTTCAAACACAGGGCTTCTCAACCTCGGCACTATTGGTTTTTGGGGCCGGATCATTCTCTGTTGTGGGGACTGTCCTGTGCGTTGTAGGATGCTTAGTGGCCTCTGCCAGTAGCAAACCCCCCACAAGCTGGGATAGCAAACATATCTTCAGACATGGCCAATGTCCTCTAAGGGGCAAAATCACCCCCAGTTAGGAAGCACAGCAGTAGGAACCATTTCCTTCCTAACTCTCACACTTTTCTTTTTGTTGTTGTTGTTTTTTGCTCAAGGTTTTGGGAGTTTTTCCACCATGATTATTGCCTCGTTGGGTTTTGTCGTTTTCATGCTCCATTGTACAACCTGTGAGAAGCCCCTAGAAGGAATCGCCTCGTCCTCCGCCTGGCACTTCACACACACACTTTATAATGCAACCATCTATGAAAATTCTGCTCCCAAGACCTATGTGGAGACGTCTGTGAAAATGGGCATGTACCTTGCTGAGCCCCAGTGGGCAGTGAGATACCGCATCATCTCCGGAGACGTGGCCAATGTGTTTAAAACCGAGGAGTACGTGGTAGGCAACTTCTGCTTCCTGAGAATCAGGACGAAGAGCAGCAACACGGCCCTGCTGAACAGGGAGGTGCAAGATAGCTACACCCTCATCGTCCAAGCCACGGAGAAGACCTTGGAGTTAGAAGCCTTGGCCCGTGTGGTGGTCCACATCCTGGACCAGAATGACCTGAAGCCCCTCTTCTCCCCACCTTCCTACCGAGTCACTATCTCCGAGGACATGCCCCTTAAGAGCCCCATCTGCAAGGTGACCGCCACGGATGCTGATCTGGGCCAGAACGCTGAGTTCTATTATGCCTTCAACACCAGGTCAGAGATATTTGCCATCCACCCCACCAGCGGTGTGGTCACCTTGGCTGGGAAGCTTAACGTCACCTGGCGAGGGAAGTATGACCTCCAGGTGCTCGCTGTGGACCGCATGAGGAAAATCTCAGAGGGCAATGGGTTTGGCACGTTGGCTGCACTCACCGTTCATGTGGAGCCTGCCCTCAGGAAGCCCCCGGCCATTACCTCGGTGGTGGTGGCCCCACCAGACAGCTGTGAGGGTGCAACCTATGCCACTGTAGTGGTAGAGGCCAACAGCTCCGGCGCTGAAATGGACTCACTGGAAATTGTTGATGGTGACCCTGGAGGGTACTTCAAAGCCATCCAGTCGTATGCCCGGAGCAGGGAGTTCAGTTTGGTGTCCGTCAAAGACATTAACTGGCTGGAGCACCTTCATGGATTCAACCTCAGCCTGCAGGCCAGGAGTGGGAGCAGGCCTTTTTATTCCCAGGTCAGGGGCTTTCACCTACCCCCTTCCAAGCTGACCTCCCTCAAATTTGAAAAGGCTGTTTACAGAGTGCAGCTTAGCGAGCTTTCCCCTCCTGGCAGCCGTGTGGTGATGGTGAAAGTAACCCGAGCTCTCCCCAACCTGCAGTATGTTCTAAAGCCATCCTCAGAGAGTGCAGGGTTTAAACTGAATGCTCGCACTGGGCTCATCACCACTACAAGGCTCATGGACTTCCATAACCGAGCCCACTACCAGCTACATGTCAGGACCTCCCCGGGCCTGGCCTCCACCACTGTGGTCATTGACATTGTGGACAGTAACAACCATGCCCCTGTCTTCGACAGGCCTTCCTACACCGGCACCTTTGATGAGAACATCCCCCCAGGCACCAGTGTTTTGACTGTTACTGCCACAGACCGGGATCATGGAGAGAATGGCTATGTCACCTATTCCATCACTCATCCAAGAAATGTGCCCTTTTCTATCGACCCTTACCTGGGGATCATCTTCACCTCCAAACCTATGGACTATGAGCTTATGAACAGAATTTATGCCTTCCAGGTACGGGCATCAGATTGGGGATCCCCGTTTCGCCAGGAGAAGGAAGTGTCTGTTTCTCTTCGGCTCAGTAACTTGAATGACAACAAACCTATGTTTGAGGAAGTCAACTGCACTGGGTCTATCCGTGAAGACTGGCCAGTAGGAAAATCCATAAAGACTGTGTCAGCTATAGATGTGGATGAGCTTCAGAACCTAAAGTACGAGTTTGTGGCAGGCAACGAACTAGAGTATTTTGATCTAAACCCTTTCTCTGGAGTGATATCCCTCAAACGCTCTTTTATGAATCATACTACCGGTCAACCCATCAATTACTCCCTGAAAATTACAGCCTCCGATGGGAAATACTATGCCTCGCCCACAACTTTGAATGTTACTGTAGTCAAGGACCCTCGTTTCGAAGTTCCTATAACCTGTGATAAAACAGGGGTGCTGACACATTTCACAAAGACTATCCTCCACTCTGTCGGGCTTCCGAACCAGGACTCCGATGATGAGGACTTCACTTCCCTAAGTGCATATCAGATCAATCATCACACCCCCCAGTTTGAGGACCACTTCCCACAGTCCATTGACATCCTTGAGCATGTCCCTCTCAACACCTCCCTGGCCCGCCTGGCAGCCACTGACCCTGATGCTGGCTTTAATGGCAAACTGGTCTATGTGATCGCAGATGGCAATGAAGAGGGCTGCTTTGACATTGAGCTGGAGACAGGGCTGCTCACCATAGCTGCCCCCTTGGACTATGAAACCACCAGTTTCTACGTCCTCAATGTAACAGTGTATGACCTGGGAACTCCCCAGAAATCCTCCTGGAAGTTTCTGACAGTGAATGTAAAAGATTGTAATGACAACGCACCCCGATTTCCTCCTGGTGGGTACCAGATAACCATCTCAGAGGACACAGAAGTTGGAACCACAATTGCAGAGCTGAAAGCAAGTGATGCTGACTCGGATGACAATGGGAGGGTTCACTACACCCTGCTAAGCCCCACAGAGAAGTTTTCCCTCCACCCCCTCACAGGGGAACTGGTTGTCACAGGGCCCCTGGACAGGGAATCAGACCCTCGGTATATACTCAAGGTGGAGGCCAGAGATCAGCCCAGGAAGGGCCACCAGCTCTTCTCTGTCACTGACCTGACCATCACATTGGAAGATGTCAATGACAACTCTCCCCAGTGTATTACAGAACTCAGTAGCCTGAAGGTCCCAGAGGACCTCCCCCCAGGAACCATCCTAACATTTCTGGATGCCTTTGATCCTGACCTGGGCCCAGCGGGAGAAGTGCGATATGTCCTGGTAGATGATGCCCATGAGACCTTCCAGGTGAACCCGATGACTGGTGCACTCAGCCTGGAGAAAGAGCTGGACTTTGAGAGGCAGGCTGGGTATAACCTGAGCCTGTGGGCCAGTGACAGTGGGAGGCCCCTGGCCCGCAGGACCCTCTGCCACGTGAAGGTGACAGTCCTGGATGTGAATGAGAATCTCCACCCTCCCACCTTTGCCTCCTTTGTGCACCAAGGCCAGGTGCAGGAGAACAGCCCCCCAGGAACCCAGGTGATGGTAGTGGCTGCCCACGATGATGACAATGGCTTGGATGGGGAGCTCCAGTACTTCTTGCGGGCTGGCACCAGTCTTACAACTTTTAGCATCAACCAAGACACAGGTACCGGGAGTGGGGAAGGATGGGAGTGCCAGGTGCAGTAGGGTGGGCCTAAGGAAAATCAGGGGCTGTCCTGAAAGAGGTCAGGCTGCAGCCTAAAAAGAAAAGCAAGAAGTAGGGACTCTCCTTCCTGTCCCTTTAATTTTATTTTTAATTTATATTTATCATACTGGGGATATATATATATATATATATATATATATATATATATATATATATGCATATGTGTGTGTGTATCTATTTAAGTCAATTCAACCATATCACTAGCATCTGTGTAGATATACATAATATGTACATACACACATAAAAACATATGTTACATATATTTGCTTATAAAAGTAATGCATTGTGGTTATATGTTTTTTATATGTAATTTAAAAATGAGTGTTTCTCTGTGACCCATCTTCCCAGATATAATATCTGTTAACAATTTGGTCTATAATTTTCTAAATTTTTCTTCTTTGTACCTGGTATATTATTACTGTTTGCATTACAATTATGAAAACGTAATACAATAGACACTAACTCTGAAACTTATTCTTTTCACATAACAGAACCCCTGGATATCTTATATGTCAGTCCATATAAATCTTTGTCATTTTTAAAAAATGGCTACATTTTATCCTACATATAGGTGTAGCATCCTTGTTCATACTTTTACTCACATACGTGAGTCTCTATAGGAAAAATTATTAACAATGCAGTTGCTGGGTCAAAGGATAATGCGTACTTTCAACGTTAGTATTTCCCAATTGCCCTCCAGAAAGATGCAACCAGCTTATGTATTCCTGTCAAGCTTCATAGAAAATAGGTATAATTTAGCAAGCACTCATTGAGTACCCTTGACTTGTGAGGTCCTGAGATAGGCAGCCTGGGAGAGATCCCAGGTGGAAAAGGCGCGTCATTGCCCTCAAGGAGTTTACAATCTGATGGGTGACTTATTTCCAGGCTAAAGGGCAGGGTGATGTGGTGGAAAGAGCATTAGACTGAGAGTCAATTCCAGACCCAGCTCGTCCGCCTACTTGCTACCTGATCTTGGTCAAGTCACGCTTCCTCTCAGGGCCTTAGTTTCCCCATCTGTCAAAGGTATCAGGCTCCTTCAGCTCTGACAGGCTATGGCTGTGAGCACGGGCTTTGCCCTCTCACGTGGGCCCTTCCAGCTGAGTGGGATCCATGAGAACTCAGGTGCAGGCCTCTTTTGCTCACTGTTGGACCCTCGACCTCTAGACCAGTGCCGGCCCATAGTAAGTAATTTATGGAGTGAGTGACCTTAGGAACGAAGCTAAGTCTCTAAAATCATGAAGATAATGGAGAGGGGAATAGCAATTTATTTATCAAATCCCTAACCCTTAAATTGTATGTATAATACCTGAAGTTCGAAGGATCTAGTTTAAGGACAACTGTAAGGAAATCCCTTAGAGAATGTGAAATCAGTCAATCAATAGGACTTGGGTTGAAGTAGTTAGGAGAATGTAGGTCAACGACCTCCGTCTTCTGGGAACCCTGCAGATGCCCACATGCCAGAGTCATGGGCCTATTTTTATCAGAGAAAGTCTGAGAGGTTCTGCAGTGAGAATATAATTTCTGTGTTGAGTTCAGCGGCTCTCACACCATATTGGCAACAGCTCCCTTTTCTCGTGGAAAACCTATTAATATCCTGTCCATAGTACAGTTTGGGGACTGTTAGGCAAGATGATTTCTATCACTACTTTGAGCTCTGAAATATTTTGGGTTTGGTGACCAACTGTCCCTAGGACTGATTCAGACTCTGGCGCCCCTGGACCGGGAATTTGTGTCCTGCTACTGGCTGACGGTCCTAGCAGTAGATCGCGGTTCCGTACCCCTCTCTGCTGTAACTGAAGTCTACATCGAGGTTACAGATGTCAATGACAACCCACCCCGGATGTCCAGACCCGTGTTCTACCCCTCCATCCGGGAGGATGCGCCCTTGCACACTTCTGTGCTAGAGCTGGATGCCTGGGACCCGGACGCCAGCTCCAAAGGGAAGCTGACCTTCAACATCACCAGTGGGAACCACATGGGATTCTTTGTTATTCACCCTGTCACAGGTAAGGTCCTCAGAAACCTGGGCAAGCAAGATTCCCTACAACAATGCTTCTTAAAGTGTGGTCCTGAACCAGCACCATCAGCATCACCTACGACCTTGTTAGAAAGCGAAATTCTCAGGCCCCACCTGCTGAATCAGACCTGAGGGTGGGGCCCAGAAATCTGGATTTTAACAAGATATCCAGGGGATTCTGATGAGTGCTAAATTTGAGAACCCCTGCCCTACAAAGTCCACCTCTATGGGAACGTAATAATATGCCGGTTTTCTTTTCTTGGGGCCTATGGATGCTGGCAGGTTGCCTGGTGGTCAAGCTGGGACTATTTCAGACCTCCAGGTGCTCCCAACTGACCCCTCCCCTGAGTCACAAGCCACAGGTTGAATTTCCTAACCCTAGTTCGAAACTGATCTCAAGCCTGCCCATAGAGTGGTGACAACAGAGAGCCACTCCAGTGGAGTCAACCATCCCACAAATATCTATCCTTCGCACAAAGCCACCTGGGGCAAGGATGGTGGGTGGTTTAGAGGAATCCAGAGGTCACCAGCTTGCCTCAGTAAGCCAAATGTAGCCCACACAGGTGTTTTGTTTGGCTTGCACAAGCTTTAAACAACGATTTTTCAAGTTGTTGCCAACATTTAAAAATTAGGAAACTCCACAAAAACATTCTAGGTTTCTTGTTCTTAAAAAACTAGATCTGGCCACACTGACCCCCCACCCCACCCCCACTTCCCACAGCTCCCTGTGTAGACCAGGCACGTGTCCTCTGGTCCCCAAGTCCCCTCATTTGCTACTGCCTGACTCTCAGCCTGCTTCCTGCATTCACGCTTCCTGCCTGGCTCCTGTTGGTGCTGGAATTTGAGAGCCAGTCCCTGCTGCTCCGGATGCTCCTCCAAGGCCACATCTTCCTCTTGGAGGATGAACCACAACCCCATTGCAGAGAAAGCGGACATTCTCTCCTCTGAACCCATGATCCTATTCTCCAGCTCCAACAGTTCACTCTTGGAAGGACAGAACCCTGGAGAGATTAGAGGACAGGGAAAGAAGGAAAGCTGGAGGGCAGTCACCCATCCCTAAGACACAAAGAGCAGGACAGCATGAGCCTGGTGGGTCCTGGGGCAGACAGTGGGTGAGGGATACAAGTGTCTCCTGGCACAGTGATATTTGTTTGGAACTTTCCTGTTAACCTTTGACCTCAGAGACTAGATTATCTTCCTCGAAGGATCCTTTCACCCTGGAAAACAGGCCTAACTGGCTCTCTACCCGGGTCCACCCTGTCCCTCCCTTTTCATGAGAAGGAAGAGATCTCTCACCTAGGGCATTAGCTTCTCAATGTCTTCCAAATCCCTATTCTGTTTACTGTCAACAGTTCCCTGGCATGAGGTCTGGCAAAATGCCCCAGAGGGCAGAGATGTTCTCAGTCTTCTTGCAGTTGAGAAGAAAATTTTTACCAGCGTAAACATCTAAAAATAAAATCATCAATGAACAATGAGTGCCCAATCCAGTTTTCTTCACAGCACCACTGTATTGTCCCACTTCCCTACTTGGACACCATGGATGGCGTCCCTATGCCCTGAAGATAAAGCCAGGTCCGCAAATGTGTCCCTGCTGACCTTTCTGCCTTCACCTTGCCTCTCTCACCCTGCCACTCTATGGTTTCAGCCACATGTTCCACTTCAGTCCATGTCCTCTCCTGGCACCGGGCCTTTGCACATGCTGTTCCTTCTGCCAGGAGTCGCTTCTCCTCTCCTTTCATCTGGCTACCTCCTGCTCTTCTTTCAGATCCCAGCCCAGCTGTTCTTTCCTTAAGGAAGGTTTTCCTGATACTATAATACGTCTTCTAGAACCATCGACCCGCCTCATGTTTTAAAACATTCATCACACAGAACACTATATTCATTTGTGTGATTATTCCATTAATTATCCATATCCTTCACTGGATTCCAAACGCTTTCTAGAAGAGGAACCTTGATTGTTTTTGCCCACTATAGTATCTTCAGTGCCTGGCACACCACAGGATCTCAATAAATAATTGGGAAATGAATGAATGAATCTCTGCCAGCATTCACAATCTTTCGTTAAGCCCAAGATGCATTCATTCAGCAAATGTTTAAAGGCGTCTGCCCTCACAGGGCACTAAAACTATGTGCTTGTGGAGAGATAAGAAGAAGATAAATGCAACACAATTTCGAGCTCTAAGGACTTAATATCATCAGGAGCATGAAGGTCCGAATATAACAAAGTAGAAAAGAGCATGCTGCACTATAAGATATGGGTAGATGCGATGCCACAATGGCTCAGAGGAAAGAGGGCGCTGCTCAGTGTGTGGCAGATCAGCAAGGGCTTCGCGAAACGGGGTGGTTATGCTGAGCTGCGGATGGGGAGGACTTGACAGGCTGCAGTCAGGGAGGGCCCCTGGGCAAGGAGAGTGACAGGAACAACAGCCAGGAGGGAAGAAGCCCGAGATCTTGTAGAAGACACAGCAAGTAGGTCAACTTTCTAAAGGCATAGCCGCTTCCACCACGTATTAACTGTAAGACCTTGGGAGAGTTTCTTAACTGCTCCGCGTCTGATTTTTTTTTCACCAGTAAAATGAAGGTAACAATAGCTACCTCCTGGGTGGTTGTGAATATTAAATGAGTTAATAGATATAGAAGGAGCTCAGAAGAATGTCTGGACATGTAAGAGCTCAGGGAGCGTTGGCCTTTGTGATCCTGAGGGAGGGCAGAAAAGGGAGAGAAAGTCGGGAAGGTAGTCGGGGTAAGACCTAGACTGTGGTGGCTCAGGGTGAAAGAAGTAGAAGGATCTGGAACCCATCAGAGGTGGAATCAACAGCAGCCGGACAATGATTGGATGAGAAAAAGGAGGGGAAGGGAAGGATTAAAAATGGGCTTACGATGAGGTAATGGGGAAATTTTGTTTGGAGGAGAGAAATGATAAGAGCTGAATTGGCTGCGTGGCCATCTGGTGCCAGGAAGAGTCCTTAGTAGCACATCACACAGCCCCGTGGAGTGGCTCTGCCATGTCTCCATTCTGCACAGGCTCCCTGGGACTTCTGACACCTATCTCAGTGCGGGGAAGAGGCTGAAAACAGGGCAATGACCCTTAGAAGGTGGGAGGAGGCAGTGGTGAGAGCAAGGCAGAGAAAGAAAAGCAAAAGCAGAGAGGCGGAGAGTGTCTGAGATTCAGAGAGGCAAAGAGGGGGATGGGGGAGAAGAAGCCCTGGATAGGAAGAGAGGACGGTGGTGAGGGATAAACAGAGAGAGAGAGAAGAGAGAAGGGGAGAAGAGGAGATGAAGGGACAGAAGGAGCAAGGAGGAAAGCAAGGACCGAGACAGAAGGAGGGCTTACATGCCAAGGCCCCCTCAGCACTGCCCTCTTCTGGGGTGCGGGGGAGGGGGGGCGCCCAGATTCTGGGCCCTTCCCCATCCAGCCTCTTCTTAGCTTGGGGATGAATGGGTGGGGTGACCAGGGACAATATTCCCGCTGTCCTGGAGGAACGTGTCATCCTTCTCCAGTGGGGTTTTCCAGGAGCCTACCCTGAGCCTTCCTTTGCCTGCCTTCAGTCAGGGAAGAAAAGGTCAGGATGACTTGGTTCTGCTGCACAAGGCAAGAACCTGTCCCTTACACAGGCCGCTCCTCACATCACACGTCCATTTCCAGCACTGAAGTCTCCACCTCAACACAGAACCCCCTTTCCCCTCACAGAGCCCCTCTCCACACACTTCATTCCATTACCCCATTATTTAATTGCCTAAACAATATCAAGAAACTATTGAAAGCCTTCAGACAACCCACTGACCCCATCGAATAGCTCTGCTTTTATTTAAGAGACCTTCCCTACCACCTGTGACCTCTCAGTCTATGGGCTTGGATGCCCTGGGGCCCCTGCTAACCTCAGTCTTGACTTACCAGATGCTTGCAGAGAACTGGTACCTTCCCTCCTTTGTGGCCTCAATGTACAGACATAGGGCCTCATAAAATTATAACGAGATAGATCACCAAGTCCCCCCCCCCCTTCAACTTACAGGTGAGCTGAGAGAAGCCCACCTCTGGCTCATCTGTACCAGTGTGTCATGGGAAGAGCTGGTACTGGGACCCAGGTGAATAATATAATAATAACAAAGGAGTCAAAAGCTACCACTTTGTGATTTCTCATGAGCTGGAGGCAATGACGGTGATCCCTGTTATAACTCCCAACAAGCTGCCATTTTTACTCAACAAAATATTGTGCACAACAGCCTCCTAATGGTGAAAGGGGGTGTAGGTGGGAACCTTCACGGATAGCATCCTCTCTGCTGTTCTCTCCCACTTCCTCACTTCCCCTTCTCTTTCCCCAGAGTTCCACTTCCCCTTAATGTTCTTGTTGTCCAAACACCAGAAGAATTTTGATCTAAGATTAGAAATGTGACCCTTGAACTTCCTCCCAATAAAGTGGCTCTAGGAGCCCTAGGAGCTCAGGTCTCCCTCCTACCATCTCTCCCCCAGGTCTGCTGTCCACGGCCCGGCAGCTGGACCGAGAGAACAAGGATGAGCACATCCTGGAGGTGAGTAATGGTGGTGAACCCATTCTGGATTCGCAAACCTCCTGAAGGAGGCCAGGCTGGAGCCAAGCCAGGCCTTGGGGCCACATGCATGTCTCCAAGCACTGTGGCTGAGGAGGGCGCTAGGCTCAGGGAGGAGACGCTACTCAAGCTGAGCCTTGCTGTGGTTGGTGACTCTTAGGGTCTTTTCTGGCTCTTTAGCACTGTGAAGGGTAAGACTCTGAAACCATATCCAGGCTGAACAGGAAGCACTGATTGATTATTAATGCCTATGACGAGTGCAGGAATAGGAGAGGTACACATGTGTTATGCACTTGCGTCTGGTTTCCAGCCTATCTCCACGATCCAGAGAGAGTTACCCAAGGTCAAACACCAGGTTAGTCACAGAGCCAGGATGAAAACCCAGACTTTTGTCTTCTACATTTTTCTAGGATGTCTCTAAAATCATATAAGCATCCCTGCTTGGTGCCCATTCCAATGAGAGGCATCGGTCTTGGCCAATCAGAAGGACTCTAGCTTTGCCCCTCCTGAGCTCTCCATAAGCAATGAATGGCCATCTGTCTTAAAGACATCAGGTGGGAGGGAATACATATATTCCTCATCAGAATTGAAATAAGCTTTGCCCGCTATGCTCCCGAGCTCTGTACCTGCCCTTTGTAAGAAATGGGTATTATTATTAGTCATCAGCAGCTAACTGGCTTTCTAGAGACTAAAGCATTCCCCACTCTTCAGTAGAGGCATCTATCTTTAAATAGCAAAATATTTTAACACGTCAGAACCATTTAAAGTAGAAATGTCCTGCCTTGTACCCTTGGGGTCACTGATCCATGGGACAGTGTGCCCCCTCATGAAATCCTCCCTGATTCTGAAATTGCTTTGCACCTTTTCTCTCATTCTGGATTTCATTTCATGCATCGAGCCACCTGTCTGACTCAAAAGGTATCCCCCACTCCTTCCTAAACATCTTCTCATTTGTTTTTTCTACCCTCCAGTAGCTTAAAGAAGCTGGAGAACAAAGCTTCTGAGCATTACGAGCAAATAAAAAGTAAATGGTTTTCAAGAAATGACCCTTAGCCTCCTGAGTAATGAGTGCCAGTTTTTGTCTAGAGCCTCCGTGGCTGGCTTCTTCCAGTTCTTTCTGGTTTCTTTGTCTGTCCTTGCTGGCTTTCCTGTGGGCGAGGTTACCAGAGAGCTGGGTTCCAAATAGGTGAGGTTAGGATAATAAAAATCACGAGCATATGCTCAAGAACAGACTCACTGATATTTCCAAGCTGTCAAAAGCAGGGGTAGGGAGTGGTAGGGTTGCAGTGGGTGGCGACACATATTTACCGCTTTGCATTTGGCAACTCATGCTGGAATCTGTCCCCAGGTGGCTGTGCTGGACAACGGGGATCCGCCGCTACGGTCCACCTCCAGGGTGGTGGTGTGCGTCTTGGACGTCAACGACAACCCCCCTATGTTCTCCCACAAGCTCTTCAATGTCCGTCTTCCAGAGAGGCTGAGCCCGGTGACCTATGGGCCTGCCTACAGGCTGGTGGCTTCAGACCTGGATGAGGGTCTCAATGGCAGGGTCACCTACAGTATTGAGGAGAGCGACAAGGAGGGCTTCAGCATCGACCCGGTCACGGGCGTGGTGTCATCCAGCAGCGCCTTCACGGCCGGAGAGTACAACATCCTAACGGTGAGGGGTGGACGGAGGCCAAAGAAGGGGAGTGGGAGAACGGATTAGGGATTTTCTTAGAGGATACGGGGCAGGGAGACTGGCACCAGGCATGATGGAGGTGGTACTCCAAGACAGAGTGGGAGCTCCGACTTCAACCAAAGGATCAGAATTCTGGGCCTTTTTCTTTGAAGGCAATAAGGTCCTTGCCTGGGAAACCTGCTGTATTCTTAGAGAGAAGGATTTGGTGAGAGTAGCAGGAGCTTTGGAATCAAGATAAACCTGGGTTCCAATCCTAGCTCTGCCATTTTATACCTGTGTGGCTTGGACAAGTCACTGAACCCCTTCGAGCCTTTGTTTTATCATCTGTAAAGTGGGGCTAAGAACATTTTCCTTGTAGGAAGCCAATATAGCAAGCAGCTAGGGCATGGGCTCTCATGTCAGACAGCCTAAATCCAATCCAGCCTCACGCCAGCCAAGCAGACAACCCCAGGCAGGTGAATTCACCATTTTTTTGCAAAAGGGAGGCAATAATGGTACCTCTTTCAGGGCTGTCATATGGAGTAAATTAGATATTGCTCTTAGAGCAGGGCCAGATAATACTGAAAGCTCAATAAATTCTAGTTTATTACATTTATGGTTGTTGGGAGGGTAGACAGACCGTGTATGTAAAGTCTGGTTGAGCAAATAGCACACAGTAAGCCTTCAGTTAAATAGTGACTTTGATTATGTTTTTTCAGCACTCATGAGCTTCTTGAGCACAGTTACATGTCTTATTCACCACGGTGCCTGCCGCAACTAGCATGGTGCTTGTTTCCAGTAAGCCCTCAACTGTGTGTCGAATAAGTGACCGAGTGAACGAGAGAGGCCAGCTCAGTCAGTCACAGGGCGCCCTGTTTCTTGGCTGGTCCCCTGGGTCTTCTTGTTTCTTGGACCCAACCCTACAGACAAAGCCTCGGTTTCACTTTTGGCCTCTTTTCAGATCAAGGCAACAGACAGTGGGCAGCCGCCGCTCTCGGCCAGTGTCCGGCTACACATTGAGTGGATTCCCCAGCCCCGGCCCTCCTCCATCCCACTGGCCTTCGATGAGCCTCACTACAGCTTTACAGTCATGGAGACAGACCCCGTGAACCACATGGTAGGGGTCATCAGTGTGGAGGGCCGACCCGGCCTCTTCTGGTTCAGTATCTCAGGTGAGGCCCCCAAGGAGGACCAGCCTCTCCCATCCTTTTAGACCAGCCCTAGTCCTCATGGTACAATCCTTCTGAGCCCTCTCGAGGTCACGCTCCCTGAAAACCCCTCTCTTGGCCATGGATGGTGACTGCCTCTTCCCTGGATCTCTGGGGCAGCGAGTCACAGGAGCTCCACTTCTGCCAAACTTTCCTCCCACACCAGCTATCATCTCAGGTGGAACCTCCATGGTCTCACTGGTAACCCCAGCCAGAGCTGAGCAGTGCCTCAGTCACCCCAAGTGCCTGGGAGATTTAAGAGGGTGCTCCAGGGAGACCCAGCAGAGAAAGCACAAGTTTTGTGTTTCCTCTTCTGCCTCCATGAGAAAATCAGTGTAGAGCTGACTTCACTGACCACGAGCCTGAGACCAGCTGTACCCTGGGGCCATGCTTACTGTTCTGGTCCTAGGTTCCATCCTTAAAATCAGGGGAAAGCATCCATTCTCATGTAGGAGACACATGGGTCCAAGCTCTGATGGCCTTCTCTGAATTTCCTGTCTGTCTCTAAACCAAGATTTTGTTTACATATCTGGGAGGGGGCGAGGATCAGTCAGAGACCCCTTTGGGAACCTGATGAATGCTTTGGCCCTCTTCCAAGAAAGTTGCAAACATGAACACACAAACATAAATGTACATACAAATATAGGGTTTCCTATATTCTCTGAAACCCAGCCAGGGATTTCAGGTGAAGAATCTCTAAGAGTTTCAGCACCACATGAACCATGGATTCTTATTATGGCTTCCCAGCCTGGTTCAGAAATTGAATATGCACTTGTCCTAAGGTTTTGACCTCCGGATTTACTTCCAGTTCTGATTCACTGCTCTTTTTCATTTTTTTTTCTTTTATACAGAATTGATACATGTACTCTAAAGAACAATTAGAAAACACAAATGAGTGTAGAAAACACAAATGAGTGCAGAGAAGA